AGGAATTCTGGGAGTTGAAGGCCACAAGCCTTAAAGTGGCCCAGGGTGGAGACCTCTGGTCTAAAGTATCAACAAGCCACCCTTCCACTTAAAGGACCTTTGAACAGAATGCTATAATATTATCTGAAGTTAGTAAGCATTTGACCTGCCCTAGATGAGGTGGAAGGGTCGGGGTGCCCAGATTCTCCAGATCGAGAGCCCTAAAAAGATTAATGGAGAGAACACAGGTAGTCCTTGACCTACAATAGTTCATTTAGCGACCGTTCAAAGTGATACTGGCCCTGAGAAAAGCGACTGAGGGCTGTTTTTCACACTTCATAACCGTTCCAGCATCCCGCACAGTCACAAGATCAAAATAAATAAATGCATATGGTTCATATTTATGACAGTCACAATGTGGCCAGGGGGGTGTCACATGATCCCTTTTGCGACCATCTGACAAGCAAAGTCAAGGCAGGAAGCTCAATTCGCTTCACCATGAGACTAACTTCAGAACTGCAGGGAATTCACTCAACGACGGGGGGCAGGAAAGGCCGTACAACGGGGCAAAGCTCGCTTCAACCAATGTCTCTGTCAACTCATAAAACATTTTGTATACACTTTTTATAGTTGTCAACAGAAAGGGGGGCGGAGTTTCAAAGAGCAGGCAGCAGTGTGGAATCGAAAGTACTTCCCATTCATATTTTCTTCGAAGACTGATTAGATGACTGAAGCTTCTGCTGCGCAAAAATGTAATTGGAGAGCATGATTGATGACCCTTGGCTATCTTCGTTGGATGATACACCCAGAGGGGTGGGGCAAAAGCAGGATCAAGGGTGACAGTGAATTACGTAACTCAGAGTCAGCTACACCCAGGCTAATGCCGGCATGTTAACTTCTAATAAATCCTTTGTAGTTTTGGGAGTGTGGCTCGAAGCTCATTATTTAATTGGCGTCACTGCCAGAATCCTGACGGTCTCACTTAGCAAAAGAAATGTTTGGCCCAGTTTAAGTCAAGTGTCAACTCATAAAACATTCCTATGCCTGTCTTAGTAGTTGCCATAAAAAAAGTGGGGGGAGGAAGGAAATCTGCAGTAGTTGGAAAGCGAAAGTACATTCCAACTCTTATCTCTAAAAGATTGTAACTAAACTACCAGAGCTTTTGCCTGGGACTATACTTAATTGGAGGATGTGATTGATGACACCCAAGCCGTAATTGGAGTGTGTGATTGATGA